GGGGGGGGGCGCTTCGCGTTTAGGCGACAAGCGGGCAAGAGAACGTTCTGGGATCGTTTACTCTACGCGACCACCTCGCACCTTCGCCTGTTGCACCATTCATGTGATTCAGTAGGTTCGAGTGTTGGTCGTGGCTTGTGGATTTTATCTGTGACCACACGATGAGCCAAGATGGGCGTTTGGAAAAAGGGCACACCTTTGGCGTTCCGTCGTGGTGTACAAGTGTACGTCGGTGGTAGCACAGTTGGCGTACAATAACGCACACGTGAAAGAACTGTCTTAAGACTCCAACAGTATGAACTTTCTTGTGTTGAAATTTCCGGAAAGCAGTGGTGATGATTAGATAATCAGGAAAGGTTAAGAAAACTCTTTCTAGAACAAGATGATGCGTGTTTTATTCAAAGAAAGCTGACCCAATTTTTGAATGTTTAAAACAATATTTACACCAAACTGTTTGGCATAAAACTAAATTTTGTGCAGCAAATAATGGTTGACATACAGGCAGTTGTGCATCTGGTCTATTTTTATCATTACAAAACCAATGACATATATTCAGACAGTTTAAAAAATGATAAATACAAAATAATTAACAAAGTAGATGTTTTGTGTAAGTACAGAACATAAATAAAATCGACATTTTCCCCATCCCTCATTTTAAGGAAAGACAAATCGTGAGACAGTTCTTCCTTTCACATTTCGTGTCTTGCGGCTGTGTTGTGTGGTCAAGGGCGAGTCCTGGCGTGCGAAAGCCTCATTCTCCTCTGATCTTCATTCTGGAGAGGAATTGCGAGGCCGGATAATAGGGGAAGAAAAGGGTGGGTGGGAGGAGCTGGTCCGGGTGGCTTATACACACGCGCACGCACACACAAAGCGACAAACTTTCTGCCACAACGAGATTCATATTTTCTGGCAATAATACATTGAAGTTAGGTCGTGACATGGATTAGTATTTTACAAACAAAAAACCATAAAGAAAGGAATCGATATATTGGAACCATGCATGAACCGATTCCTCGACAGAAAGTTACAGAGTGCTCAGAATGGTAGGGTTTGGCTTAGGCCGAACTCATTGCCCCTTCTCCCCATTCCTTTGAACTGTCCTCGCCACGCGGGTTGGTTCTTTAGCCTTTCGAACTCAACTCATGTGTTTAAGAGATGGAAGTCAAACTAAGCCAGCCCTCGAGTGGCCCAGTGGGCCGGCTCCTAGCGTGAGTAGTCGCCGCACTTGGCGCAACGACAGTCCGCGGGCTCGCGCAACTTCACCTCCATGGAGTGGCGGCCCTCGGCCGTGAGGCGCGCGCCGTCTGGGTCGTAGCAGTGGGTCAGCGACACGACCCGCTCCCGGAGGAAGCTCTCTCGGCAGCAATAGCACTCCTGGTAAGACGAGGGCAAAATGAGGAAATGCTCTCAAAACTTGGAACAACACGCTGGGTTTCGTGTCATAGATACCTTGAGGAAACCGGTGGGGGTGATGACGCTGGGCTGGACCTGCGAGCTGCATGCGCCTTCACATTTGTTGACTGCGATGTCACCGTTGCAGGTTCTTGACAGACGCCCCAGCTCGTCGAACTCCTCTACGCAGCAAAGGGTGACATGTGCGTTATTAGTACGCAGACCGACTGTGGGGCTTAGTTTCACGCTCAATGGCAGACCCCAAGCGTGGACTGGTAAAACAAGGGGAGGACGTAGCACCTTGCCCGGGCCCGGGGTGTAGAGGATTTTCTGACTTAGGTGCCGCCGTTGAGCGTCTTAATTAATTAAAAATTAATCACTCTTGAAAGATGCGACGTTCTCCCTTTGTTTTACTGGGGCGCGAGTCTGCTGACAGTATGTGAAACATGAGACATACTCCCTGGAATGAGCAGAGGTGTCTATACCTCAAACTTCAGTTGCTGACCTTTGACGATGTGTATCTCGGACGGCAGCGTCTCGCAGGCCTCCTCCGTCTCAGCAGCCGCGCCGTGCGCGAGCACCAGCACGGCGAGCAGCACGGACCGCACCAGCCACATGGCTCGGACTCGGCTGGGCATCAAACGAGTCTCTGTTCAGCTTCAGCCGGGGCTTCAGCCCCACACGAGGCTAGGCCTCGGGCCAGGCAGTGCAAGCACGTGGAGTCGTGGAACGCTCCTTGAGCGGGTCGGTCGCAGGCGGTCGCTGCTGCTCCGGGCGGCTGCAGTGGCGGAGTGACAGGGAGCCGGGAGGCCAGCTTGGGGCTTGGGCACCCCAGGCAGCGCCGAGACCCGCTGGTCCTTCCCCCACTCGCGCGAACTTCCCTGGCGCCGGCCAGCCTGGCCCATGCCCATGGCCGGCCAATGGCGCGGATATGGGTGGCGCTACGCGACGCACTGCTGCGCTCTGCGCTAGCTGCGCTGCTTCGGCTGCTCCTCCGCGCGCGGAGAGCGCCCGCCGGGGTAGGCATAGGCACCACCCTGCGCACGGGTGTCGCACGGGTGCCTACCTCACAGGCGTCCATGGTTCTCTGTGCTCAGCGTGCTCCACAGGAGCAGACTGGGGTGGGTGGCTGACGGAAGGGTGTTCGTGGATAAGGAGCAGATGTCATTATGGGGGTATGAAAAGGAAGGGGCGCAGTTTATTGTTACGTGTGTGACAGTGTGACGTACGGTGACGTGCGACCCGCGTGAAAGATGAGGAATGGGGGAGGGGGAAGAAGGGGTTAGGGTAGGGGTGGGGGTGGATGGAGGGACTAAGCGGACTAAGCGGTGAGGAGGAAGGGGGGGGGGGCAAACGGAGACTTTGCTGGTCCTTCTCGCCACGGTCAGATCACGGTCCGGGCCGAGCCACTCCGAGCACCCCGCCGCTGGTAATGGATCGCCACTAGACAAAGCCATTATGCGTTGTAGCGACGCCCCCCGCGGGGCATCGGAAGTCAGACTGTCGCCACCCCACCCAACCCCACCCCCCAACCTTTTCCAACAAGGCGCCTGCAAGCAAGCTGGGCGGGGCAGGGCGCGGGGCAGGGCGCGGGGCAGGGCGCAATCGAGTGTTCTGGATTTGGATAGTCAAAATAAGGATATGAGGCGTTATCTTCTCTCGAACCCATCGAATTACTGCACGGCATATTATTCGAAAGAAAATGTAAATGGCCGTAATTCAAGATTTCAAATAGTCACTTCTGCCGTGGATTTTAAATTTACGCGCCGAAATAGTTTCCCATCTTTTTTGTCTATTTTGAATGAGCGAGCGACCGGCTGATTCAAAACATCGCAGATTGCACCACGGCCGTCTACGTCAAAACGAAATCTTACAAAACTTCGGGAAGACCTCGATTTTTAGAGAAAATTTTAGACTGTTACAGCCAAATGACGTCTAATCGGCCAGGAAAGCGTCCATCTGATGCCGGTATTTAATTTTCTAACCATTAACGTACAGTGTTAGGTTTGATCGGTAACCTTAAAAATATGCATTAATAACAAATTCAAATTGGATGTTTCTCAGTTATCAGTGGTCATACTTGAAATAACTCAATTTGTTAGAAAATATGAAGGAAAGAGAAATTTTGATATACATTTGTTTTTTAGGAGAAAATCTGTCATCAGTTAAAAAGAGCCATCAAGAATGTCAATTTGGCCTGAAATGTTACAGAAAAAACCCAAATCACTTTGTCGAGTTTGATCATTCACACTGTAAGAAATAAAAAAAAATCTTTTTTCAAGTATAATTTTTTTAGTAGTTAAAATATAACGCACGATGGTATCTATGTTATTTGAACAAAACTTTCTCTTTGTTCTAGTAAATGAAATAGTTCTTAGATGGCACGATGAAAAGACTCTCCCACCAGACCTCGATGTAGAATTAAAGAGAACTGCTCCTAGCATTGTGCTAGAGCAATTGAAAATTGTTAGAAAACTTAGATGTACTGCAGCCTCTAAAGATGACAGCTTAAAACCTAGTTTAGTTTCGCAAAATGCTACTAATGATTGCAAACCACAACAGAGCCGTACATCTGCTAATGATGGTGAGTCTAAATTCTCTATTGTGTCATTGTATTTACCATCAAATTTCAAGATTAATCTTTTCATTAGTTTCCACTGGGCACTCGAGTAAAATGAGTGAGGACTCTTCCAAAGGAAAGGAAGGATCTGGAAACAACAGTTCTGCCATGGCGAAAATGATGCAAGAGGCAACAAAGCATCATGGAGATGTTCAGGCTAAGCTTGATGCCTCTGCCCCTTACTTCTTCTTTCTTACTGCTATAGCAGATTCAAGTGCAACTCATAAAGAACCATTAACAATAACTTTTACAGGTTTGTACTTTTCAATGGCTTTTTTCTCACTCACAGATTTATTTTTTCCTGAAATTTTTATTTTTTTCTATATTTAAACAGAGCTGTTGGACCCAGGTTTTGGAGAATTGCAGTCTTCTTTACAAATTAATTTCATGGTTGAGCTTGGATGGCTTCTAGCTCAGTATTTTTACACTGGGAACAGGTACCAAATCTTTCCTTCAAGAACATGCACCTCTCATTTTATCTGAAGAGAGTTTTACTGTATTAATCTTCCTCTTAGGTTTAAACCATTGACACTGCTGTATGGAGTGGAGGATGATGATTTAAAGGAGGGAAAGAAATTGCCAAGTAACGTGACAGCTGTAAAAGTCAAGCCTCCCACTGCATTTGGGCATCACCACACGTCAGTACCTACTTTCTTTAAAGAACATATTGATTGAGGTAGAAAATGTCCTTTTGAAGTGTTATTTAATTCTCCAGGAAAATGTCTGTGCTAGCCTACAAAGACAATAGCATCAGAGTCATAGTCTCCACTGCAAATCTTGTTGCATCTGATTGGGAGAACCGAACTCAAGGGTATGTCTACACATGCCAAAATTCATATAACTAACTTAACTCCTTTCTAGCCAGATAAAAAATTTATATGAAGAATTTTGTGCCAGGTTATGGGTTAGTCCAAAGTTGCCTCCTCTACCTCCTGGTGCTGATACATTGGCAGGAGAGTCACCCACTCAATTTAAGGCCGACCTTTTGCGTTATCTCAGTGCCTATCGTTTGCCTCAGCTTCAAGAATGGATTGGCCGGATTCATCGCACAGATTTTACATCTGTTCGGTAATTACATTGGATTCAAAATAATTTCCTCAAATAATATTTGTCATTTTGAAATACACTACTTTGAGTATTTTCTGAATTTCCAGAGTCTTTTTAGTTGCGTCAGTACCTGGAACACATTTTGGGCCAGACTTTCATTTGTGGGGCCATAGTCGCCTCAGCTCATTACTAAAAAGCTATGTAACTGATCCAAAACAACCTCAAGTACCGTGGAGCAAGTGGCCAATAGTAGGTCAATTCTCTTCTATTGGTTCACTGGGACCAGATCCTAACTCATGGGTTTGTGGTGAATTGAGAGCTAGTATGAGTGCCCCCTCAAAACCTTTAGAAGGACCCTCAATAAAATTGGTAGGTATTCATGGAACTCACATGAAATTAATAACCTTATCCAATTTTTTCTCACATTCTTGCCATACTCATTTCCCTGATAAGATATACCCAACTTTGGACAATGTTAAGGAAAGCCATGATGGTTTACTTGGAGGAGCATGTTTGCCCTACCAAAAAAAAGTTCATGAGAAGCAGCTTTGGTTAACAAATTATTTACAGTAAGTACATCTTTAAAAATATAATAACAAAAAAGTTACTGTACACTCTATATACTTATTGTGTGAATGAGTTGCATTGAAGCAAATTTACATTTTCGTTGTGTTTACAGTCAGTGGCAGAGTAATTGCCGGTTTAGGACTCGTGCCATGCCACATATCAAGTCTTATGCAAGAGTATCCCCATGCAATTCTTACCTTTCTTGGTTTTTACTGACATCTGCAAATTTGTCGAAAGCAGCGTGGGGAACTGAAACGAAAACTACTTTGCCTGGCCGGGGCTTACGTATTTTGTCTTATGAAGCAGGCGTGCTTTTTCTTCCAAAGCTCCTTGTGAGTCATATTTCAGACTCCAAATTGTTCTTGTTGTTGGTCTATTGCTTATATGCACTTGCATTCATTTTTTTTGCAGGTTGAGGACAATGTATTCAATTTAGAAAACACCAATATTTTAAAGGAAGCAAAGAGCAAGTGTGGCACTGGAAAAAGTGAAACCTATGCACCTTTTCCACTGCATTATGACCTTCCATTACGATCGTACAAATCAGGAGATTCTCCATTTTTCTATGATATTTTTAAAGAATCTTGAAGCCTGTAAATTTACGTCACAATAGTGTGAAGAATATAATTGCTGTTAATGAACTATGATCTAATCTTCTGATTTTTAACTGATGAATTATCTATCTAATTTGCTTTGCAGCTGTGCAATTGCAATTTCTTGTCTACTATAGCATTCTGTGATATTATATCTTGCCTGAGGCTATCTATAGGATACAACTTTTTACACTTCTATTGATTTCCACATTCCTATTCAATAAACATGTCAAATCTCATGGAAGAAAAATATTTTTAATTGTTTCCTTTCTTTACAACTAATGGAGGCATCCAATTTAAACCCAAATTCAGAGATGTTACAATCGCGTTAATGGGATTTCATTGTCATCAAGGTCCCATGTCAACATGTGTTGACCACATTCATTCATCAACACAGCAACTTGACAAGGGAACTTCCCTCCCTACCTTGTCTGAATTTAGTAAAATATAAAATATAAAAAGGCTGCGCAACCGATAAGAGAGAAGAACAGGTTACGTAGGCCACTTAATTGTCTTTGCTTACGTGTGTAGGCTCAATGAATTTAGAGTGAAAGGAGAGTAAAGTTTTTGTACTCACCAAAACTATCCAAAATCCGTCCCTCCATTCTTTCTCAACCCTTCACTTTACCACTACCCCCACCACACTCCTCACGGCGTTCAACGTCATGAGTAGCTGTCACTGTATCTCCCATCATCCGCTTCCGTCTCTGAAAATGAATGATTGGATTGGAGGCTGCTACAAGGCGCTTATAAAATGGCGTTGTAAACAAATATGACAGGAGTGGTGTTTGTTGAGGTCCAATAATTTAATCCTCATGAAAATGGACAAGAAAACCCCGTCTGTAGTTTGTAAGGAAGTTCAGGACATAAGTAATATTTTATGGGGACCATCAGTAAAGATAGATGTCTTTCGGAGGTGGGCCCAAGGTGAGTTCAGGAACTGGGACATTTTCCCCTCATTTTGATCAACAATCATCTCACCAGTATGATTTATTTTGGAGCTATTATGTCGGATCAGATTTGTATTACAACTTTTCTTTAAGATTTTAGGTTGCATGCGTTGTCAAACGTTATATTTTTATTTCTACCACTGTCGTGAATAAATTACCTAACCTTAATCTTGCTTAATTCTGAGCAACATCTAAACTTATTGTTTGCCTTTTCTAAACAAATGCAATGTAATGTGTTGGTTAACTATTATTTCATTGATGATATTAACATGTTCTTATAGTGAATTTCTTCAAGCATGACCATAACATCCTGATCTTGTACTTTCAGGATTCCATTTCAGCAACGAGGAACCTACCGCACTTCTGCAGTGTGAAGGAGGTCCCTGTGCTGTACTTGCACCTGTTCAGGCGTTTATCATCAAGACTCTATTGGAAACAGCTTCCCTTGAAGAATGGAGACAAGTATGTACAAAAAATTATATTAACTTCTATTCCTTTAGTTTTTTTTCAATTCATAGTGATACCTTGGTAATATGTCCTCTATTTTTCTCACTAGGCAGGGTCTGAAAAATGCAATGAGCTGCTGGTTAAAGCTGTCTGTGACATATTAAGTCAAGTAAAAGAAGAAGCTGATACCAAATTCCAACTGTTTGAATTGTGTAGTGTAGAAGATAGTGATGATCCTGAGAAAAGCTGTGAAAATCCTGCTCCAAATTCAAGTTTGACCAATGGCAGTATGAATGACGATAGCAAAGATGACCTTCGATTGATTGAGTCATCTATAAGTTTGAGGCAAAATCTTTCACCCGATGAATTTCATTCCCAATTGAGGTCTGTGTTAAGGTTTAGTAATAGTTTTACTCTGTTCAGATTCTGTCTCTTAGTTTTACATTAATTTTGTGTCTTTACAGAGTCTTGACAGTAGATAACATTGCTGCTGTAGAGGCCTTTTATAATGACAGAATATCTATGTTACAAAATACTTATGGTGTTTTACTTTTACTGTACTCAGTAATTTTTTCAAAGGTGAGTATGTTGTTCCTTCATACTCTACTTTTAAAGTTTAGTAGATGTGGATTATTAAATACCAATATCTTTACTTAATTTTACAGGGAATAGATCAAATCTCTGAAGAAATGTCTGATCCTAGTGAGTCACTTATTGACATTATTCACGGGTATGGAAACCAGTCTCTCATCAATTTGATGCTAACAGGCCGAGCAGTTGGTCATGTTTGGGACCATGAACAGGATGTTGGAGGTCTTAGTAAGTAGTCACTGATTCTTCTTTTCAATTTTATTTTATGTTAGCAACAAGTAAAACACTAGCAACAATTTTTACAGAGTTGCGTGGTTTAATCAAGCAGAATGAAGTAGGATTTCTGGCATTGTTTGAGCATTTGCGGTATTGTGAAGTCGGATCCTTTTTCAAAAACCCTAAACATCCAGTCTGGGTGGTGGGCAGTGAAACTCATCTTACAGGTAATAATACATCTCATATACTGTATTTATTTGATTCTAAATCACACCATTTTTCCTGATTGGGGTGTAGCTTAAAACGAAATTTATATGGTAATCGAAGTTTCATTGCAATGCTATATCATTGCATCTCTAAAGTGTGTTCAATTATCTAGTTAAAGCTCTCTGTTTTTCAGTTTTGTTTTCTTGGGAAAAAAGTTTAGTTAGTCCTGAAACAGCTGGTGAAGTCGCCAGACGGGTTTTCAAGCGGTTCGATCCTGATGGAAACAACTTCATTCAATCATCATCTCTGCAGGATGTTTTACATGAATTAAATCTAGTTTCTGAAACTGAATAGTAAGCTATTACAGATAGTTTTTTCGTGTATCTTCTATCCTGCATGGTTCCCATTGTTTGCTTTTCTCTTTTTGCAGTGTTGAGATTATGCGTCGCAAACTTGATCCCGAGGGATTAGGGATCATTCTGTTGTTAGCTTTTATGGATGAATTTTATTCTGATGAAAAGCGAACTACCCCAGATGTGTTTACCCTTTTCCATTACAATGGATTACCTCACTCATGTCCTGATGGTCGAGTAAGTTAGACAAAATCTTTATCTGATCTTAAGCATTTACACCAATAATTTCCTAGGATATTCTTTTTCTTACCATTTCTCTAAATCTTTGCCAGGTGGTGTACCAAGAAGGCTCTGCTGTTCTTCTTGAATCTGATGTACAATGTGTTTTTGAAAGTAATCCTATTCAGACAGTTCTCCAGACAAAATGGCGGAACATTGAAGTTAACTGGAAAAGTGGTGGTTCTCCATCACTCAATTAGTATTTACTGTTGCATACTTGAGTTCCACACTCTGCCAAAGCCAATGTAGAAACTGTGATGGGGAACTTTTGAAGTGTGTTTGGAGATATATGTGAATGTGCGTCTGAGAAATATAGTATCCAAAGTCATTTTTGTATTGTTCAATACATTTCATGAGTCTCAAGCTATAAGATCTGTTGGAAAGACTTCACTGTTACAAATGGTATTGCAAATTTTTTTTTCTTTTTTTTTTCTTATCTGCAAAGAGGAATGCAGGGTATGGCTTGGCTACATCAGAGTTTTGACGTATGTATTGTTTTCATTACCACAGGGTGACTTTTACCATTTTACACTATTTAACATAATGGTAGCTTGGTTTTATGTTCTTCAACTAATCTAAAGCTCTGTAAGCAAGAATTGTTTGCCGCTAATACATTTTCATAAACACAGTTGTAGGTAGAATTCAGGTACTTACCTATATTTTTGATTGATAGCTACAAAGTAGACCGGACACATTCATCATCATTTTCTTAGATGTCACCTTGTTAACATGTATATGTGCATGAGTTTTGTGCCTTTTTTGTTCTTCTGGTATTCCTCTCTGATATTCCTCCTTGTTTTATTAAGTTTTTCACCTTGTAGCTTTTTCTTTTATCGTCCATTGTTAAAGTTTATCTTTGAGTGAAGATATTGTGGGGGTTTGAAATTCAATAACGGCACAAATGGCTCCTTTACAAAACATATGCCACCAGATGGCTGGATCATTCTTGCAACACTCATTTTTATTATTATCTTCCTTCTATGTATTGCCACTTTAGTGTAAACAAGGTATCTATGTTCAGTCGGCTGTGTGCTCTTGTTGTGCCATATCTACATTTCCCTCTTTTCATAATGGGGGAAGAAGAAAAACAGAAGGAGGAGGGCACAACCCTTGTATGTCAACCTGTGTCTCACTGTGCTGCTTGCTGTATGGAAAGTTAAACCTGTTAAGAGAACACTGTACCATGTGACAAATTTTTAAAAACTGGGAATGAGCTGCCAATGTGTTCACTTATCTAAGGATTTTTGTAGGATGATCACTTTTAAATAATAATACAAAACTGACTGTCATTATTTTGCTATGTCTTCTCTTGTATTATATTTTTGAATCTGTGAAGATCCAAGCTTAATTTTTACAGTTTTTTTTTT